TATTTCGTGTACGCAAAGCATTTTGTACAGTCAGATATACTGCAACTGTGACGAGCTCCGTGACTTTGCATGGAAAAGGGATCAACGACGTTCGCGTCGAGTGTGTGCGAGTCGATGGAATACGACGTCCGCCTCGAAAAGCAAACGAAACGATTTCCACGAAGGTATAAAAAAGAAAAGCATAGGAACAAGCCGCTCGGAAATAGCCGCGGTTAATTTTGCGTCCGCTCCATGCTATAAGCGTACATCATAGAGAGTCGCGTCTGTTCATCGTCTGTTCTTCTTCTCACTCTTCGTTTGAATCCTTTTACTTTTCTTTTCTTCTGTCTTTTTTCTTTTTTTCTTACTATCTCTTTAAAAATACATTGCTATGTATTTCCAGTGAACTGTGGCGGAAATTGCAAGTGTTGTAATATTGATAGATTCAATGAGTATGTTGATGATAGGTGCTCGCATGATATTCTCGAATTATTTATATAAATTTTACTGTATATATTAAAACGTGATATTTCTACATTTGCATTTTAATAGTTTTTAAATATTTGCATTTTGTAAAATTCGGCTAAATCTTACTAATTTGCAAATTAGTTATCAGTAATAGATTTATAATAATTACGCCAGATATTTTAGTATGTGTTAAATAAATAAACAGCATTAATTAATATTTTGAAATTCGAAATGGAATTAAAAATGTTTTAAACCAAGTAGCAGAACAATTGAAATAGACAATACCACTACAGTAAATTAAATTATTTCAAGTTTGCAACAGTGATGTCTATTGATAAAATCTGTTGTTAAAGTTAACAGTTTGAAAAATGTAAACTTGTTATAAATACACCTTGATTTTCTTTCTGGTAAAAGAAATTAATTGTTTTGATTAAATTTTATCTGTAAATGAAACGTGACTACACATTCAATACCAAGTAGCTATATATTATCTGTAAAAGTTGAATAGAGTCAAGAGAGAATTTTTCATTGGTGAAACATGAGAGCCAATTTTTTTTGTGGGGTTAAAGGTAATTAAAAACGTGAATGTGTGTAAATTCTTTTGCGTCTAAAAGATCAATAATTTGTACCCGACGAAAATTGCGGTGCGCGCTTGCGCTAACAAACGCGTTTCACCAATTTCTGCGATATTTATTCGTATTTCAGTGATCTTGCAATCCCAAAATGTCAATTCCCTCTTGCACTCATGATATTCCTGTCATGGCCATCAATCGAACTTGTTCCTGACCGATAATTACGTTATGTCTCGTAATTTGATTGAGATAATCATCTCGTAAAAAATACGTCTTCATCTAAAAACGAAGCAGCGTTAAATCACGATTATTGTATACCTCGGAAAAATATTACGTTCATTAAAATACTATATACAACTACTACGTTTTACGTTAAATATTCCGTAGAAGTCGGCGCAATCTCATGTTAATGTTTGCCTCGCAATTTTATAATTTTTTTTGCAATGTGACGTTGAATTTACATGAAAATTTGCGAACGTCAGTTTGCTTTTGTAGTTCTGTAATTTTGCAACTCTTTAACTTTATAACAATGTTTGCTCTTTCTCAGACTTTCTATGATGACCGAATAAGATAGAAGACGCAACTAGTGTGTTGCAGAAAGCGTCTTTCTCGTTCACTGACTTATCCTATGCTTTATTTTCGAGCGGTCGAGAGATAAATCGTCTAACTTTTCTTTTCTTCCTTCTCTTATGTTTTTTTCGTGTGTGTGTGTGAAACTAGATACATGTCCGTCAACTCTACCGTATCTGACCGTTAACCTCCATTTTCTGGCAACAGCTTAGTATGTGAAATGCAACGTTGCTAATTTACTGTTATATTTCAAAGAATATATCTCGCGACTTTCAAATCGATTTCAATTTATTACCAAATGCTAGGAAAACAACGTTGAAGAACAAAGCTGCGGCAGTGTTGGGAGCACATAAAAATTTCACTCCCTGTGAATAGATGATTGTTTTAAAAAAACTTATTAAAATATCGTTTAATTATTAAAAATGTTTTTCTTCGTTATATGTTTTTATTTCTCATTTACCCCTTCGTATTTTTTCTGCTTCTTATAAAAAAATTAATATTTATTAATTATGGATAGAATATACGTTCTTTTTATCTATGCGTTAAATTCTAAAAAATGTATAATTTTAAAAGATGCTTATTTATTAACTATTATTGAATTATTTCTGTTTCATTTAACAAAATAATAATATATTGTTGTTTTAAATGTAAAATACACATGTAGAATCATACAACGGGTCAGTAATAAAGAAGAAAAGAGAGAATAGAATTCGCTGAAAATGGTTGCAAAATACGTGTTCCATATATAAACTGATGCGAATTAAAGATATTTTATATTCGTCGGGGTACAATTAAAGTTATCTCTTTTTGTTTTAAGTACAACCTTTCTCATACCATACACGTCGCAATGCGGTAATAACATATCTCAATTTATCTGATGAAAATCAATTTGAAGTTCTTTTAACCGATATTCGAACAAAATATACTTTTTACATTTTAATATATGTACATACTGCTCGTATTACGCTGGTGCTTAAAATAGGGAGGAAAATGAATCAGAATTATTGAATGTAGTAAAGACAATAGATTAGATATTCTGTATATAAAATGTGTATGAGAATAATTGTTAAAGTAGTAAGAAATATTTTAAGATTTTTATAAGAATGTATTTAATATAACTGAATTATTAACTTATTTATTTGACTATTATGAGGTATCTTATAACTTGATGGACATCTATAAATGATTTAAAAGTTGAAGTATGTAAGTGGCCACGAAATGCAAAGAGCGCGTATATATTTTTCTTAGAATAAATCTAAATTAAGTACAAATAAACTTAAGTATAATTAAGTGTCAATAAATACAATACGAGTACATCTTTAATATTAAATAAATAGAAATTTACAAAATAACTATTTTAGAAACAGAATCTGTATTTATTTTTAGAGGATTTAAATTTCAGGATTACATTATTATCACGTTTTCATAATTAACAAAAAGCAGTGAAATCCCATAAAAAACCTTTTTTTAAAAAAAGAAAAAACATACGCCAAGTGCATATAAAAGATACTGAACTTCTTGATCAAAAACAGATATGAGATAAATATAATTGACCAAGTGTATTCTTCATTACGCCAGTCACATAAGACAGACCGAAAGTGACTATAATTGTCAACTGGATTATAGTGAAGAAAAAACTTGGCGTGCCCGGGTCGCATTAAAACGCAATATTCTAGAACCTTGGTTCTATCGCAATATTCTGCAGTATACACAATATATGCGAAAACAATTCAACAAAGAAAAGATGTTAATAATTGCTTACTGAACATATTATAATACTTAGTTGTGAATATATTTTCATGTCCCACAAATTATATCACTATATAGTGAATGATGATACTAATTATATCACTATATTATACGTGTATATTATACGTATATATTATACGTATATATCTGTATACATATGTCTGTTATTTTTATATTTTAATTTATAATGCAAATACTATGTTGAAATAATGTTTTCACTGAATACTGTTTACAATTAATGCGACCCGGGCACGCCAAGTTTTTTCTTCACTATAATCCAGTTGACAATTATAGTCACTTTCGGTCTGTCTTATGTGACTGGCGTAATGAAGAATACACTTGGTCAATTATATTTATCTCATATCTGTTTTTGATCAAGAAGTTCAGTATCTTTTATATGCACTTGGCGTATGTTTTTTCTTTTTTTAAAAAAAGGTTTTTTATGGGATCTTATAACTTGAATGGCATTTTTGTATTATATATGGAATATAAAAAAGGAAGAAGAAGAGAGAGAGATCTTTATATATATTTTCTTATAGAGAGAGAAAGAGAGAGAGCATACAAATTTTTTCTTTTTGCTGTTATGTACATACAGTATATTTTTTTACACAGATAAAAGAACTGAATCTACGCGTACCTGTAATAATTTTTATAATCTAATTTTACAATTAGTTTTACTTTAATTGCAATTTAACTCTTCCAATTTTTAAATAATTATATAAGTTTTACAGATTTATACGATATGATTTATTTGTAGTATTTACTGTTCCTTGCTCTATGCTTTCTCCGCCCATGGTGGTAGAAACGTCCGTTATTTATGACACTCATCGGTAGCTGTGGAACTGCATCTCCAGAGCAGCGAGAATTGTTCAACCGAAAAAAATTGGTTAGGACAACGACACTTGAACGATTCTCTGACGTCACGGACGATATTTTGTTAGAAGGCTAAAATCAATCAGCAGTGCTCTTGATAAGCTCGTAGACATATTTAGAGCCATAAGATTACGTTGGCTTTCTCTCGTGTCAATTACGAAAACATTTCCTTGCTCTAATAATTTCTCGCTCTCGCGCAAAACATATTTATTTATGGCTCTAATTGTTTTTTTCGTATTTATTTTGACTAAGAAGAAAATAGAAAGAGACAATGAATCGTGATATAGTTTTCCTTTTTTATTGTTCTTCTTTATAATTGGAAAGAATAGAATATAAAAAGAGTATTTAGTAGCTTACGTTAATAATGTTGTAATATTGTTATACATTATTAATATCATTACTACATTACTATATTATAACTATAATATTATTATATTATTACTATATTATAATAATATAATACATGGCAGGGTCATAAATAAAATCAAAATTAATTTAATTATTTATTAAAAAATTTAATAGAAATTAAGAGAGATAATTTTTATTATTTATTAAAAAAGGATATAACATGGTTTATTTAATATACAATATATCAAATTTTTTTTGGAAATTATAGATTATGATTTTAAAGAAATATTTTTTATAACGCTATTATATTATATTTATATGTGTATTATATCTATACCGTTTTCTTCGCGTTTTAAGATGTTGAATCTGCTATAAAAATTTTTTTTTTTTGAAAGTTATATTCGAAATCTTTATTTTTAATTTTTTATTCTTTCATTGCAGATGTGCCAAGTGAGCAATCCGTTTTCGTGATGCTGAATGGTGAAGAAAGCGAGCTTAAATTCTTAAACATCATTAATCTTAAAGTAAGAAGAGAGAAATATCGTTCTTTTATTTATATTATATAATGCTATAAAACGCAATATTAAATAAATTTTTGTTTATTCTGTTTTTCTGAAATATAATCGTATATAGAATTTTAATTTATTAAATAAATTTGATTTGTGCAGGCCGAATTGGAAAAGATGCCATTGCCAGACGCCTTTGTCGTAATGTATTCAGTAATCGACAAGGCGTCCTTTCAAAGGGCTGAAGAATATCTCGCTCGACTTCACGATCAAGATCTTCTTCGTGGTAGACCGGCTATTCTGGTCGGGAACAAGGTCGATTTGGTTCGTTCCAGAGTGGTTTCGCCCCAGGGTAAGAGGCGGAACATCTTTCTTTTTTACTCATACATTTTTTTTCATGGGTAGACGGTTTTGTGACACTTTATAAAACTGAACGTTCAGTTAACATGATATGATATATCAGGCAAATTCTATAATAAAGATAATGCGCGTGTATGTATCGCATATGATGTTTATTTCGGATAATTAATTTTTTACAAATGAAAAATTTACATGAATGTATCATTATAAAACATTATTTTATAGATATTATATTATTATTAAATACTATTATATGTATATTTATATTATTATTATTGAAAGTAAAAAATTCTAAACTGAAGAAACATATATTTATAAAACTTCATTTTTTGACTCTATTTAAAAAAAAAAGAACGAAGAAATTTTTTAAGCCCTTTATTATCTATTAAAGACATATTAATAGAGAAGACTTAAACAATAATAATTTAAAAACTTCTCTATTTTAATTGTAATTCTTTATCTCGAATTTTCGGACTGTATATTGCAGATGGGAAATGCTTGGCATGTACTTATCGTGCGAAGTTCATCGAAGTGTCGGTGGGCATCAATCACAATGTCGACGAGCTTCTCGTTGGCATACTCAACCAGATCCGTTTAAAGGTGGTCCAGAGTAACCAGGAAAATCGAAACAGCGGTGGCAGTGAGGGTAGTGCTCATTGGTACAAATCTAGAGGCGTCGTGCGCGCCAGTATGAAAGCCAGACAGATGCTGACCTGGCTTTTCGGCAAAGAAGATAGCAAATTTAAAAATTGCGAGAACCTCCACGTACTTTAAGTCACTGCGATAGAAAAAGATTGCAATCGAGCTGCTCGACTACTGTTTTATTAGTCACGTAAGTATGACACGACTTGAGAAATTTCTTTCTCGACGGGAACTTTATTAAAATTCCAGAATTGGAGGAATTTCCGTCGGGAAAGGATCGTGAAAATGTAGTGAATGTACTGAACGAATGTATCTTCGAGTCAACAATATGTAGCTTAATGTTTAGAATTGAACGTCAAGTCTTCGCTACTGATAATGTTTGTGAGAGTATTTTGTAATTCTAAAACGGGTGAGTTGGTCCGTGGACCAATGGATACTATTAGCATCGGGTTAACAAAGTGCCAATTAGTGGAAATTAACGCGCACTGAGTTTGGGGAGAAAATCCTTCGATTCCACGCTCGTTTAACTATAGAATTACTTCCTGAGAAATGTGAGTGATTAACCCTTTCAGTCCCAGATGTGACTGAAAGCTGCTTTTCAGTAGTTTTTTCGACACAAACTTCGTCCTTTTTGTTTTGAAAGATTAAGTACTGCTATTAAATTACATTCAAGTCTTTATTCAAGCAATGCTGGGTATTTAGACTTTTTCGTGTCAAAATTTGTATGCAGTCTTATTTTAACAATAATTTGAAATTAACATTCTGACTTTTGTTACATTTATCGTTGCTTATTTTATCTGATAGCATATTTTTTGTAAATATTCTATTTATTAAAGAGGAAGTAAAGTGGGCATTTATATATCGCGTATTACAGCTTTATGTAATTACAAATAATGCTGAATCTGATGGCCCATAATAGCGCAATAAAAAGTTCAAATCAATTCGTGTGACGATAGGAAAAGAATTTAAACCGGACCATGGTGCGAATTAGTCGCCTTAAGTTTACGACTTTACTGTACGATGAGATTATTAATCTTTTTATTTAGTATATGTATATAAAAAACTTACATATATGATATAAGCGTGTACTTGCGTAAGCATGTTCTATACAAATATACCCAACGTGTATGTACATCCCTTAATCTCTCCGTTGACGAATGTCGATTTTACCACATAACGGCGTTACATCGTTGCGTAAACAAAATATACCGCCACTATTCTCGCGTCGCTAAATTCGCTTGCATCGCTAGTGTCATTAATTTCTCGCGTTCCAATGGGCTCTCCGAAGTCTGTTATTGTGCATATAAAGCCAACTTAATGCAATACGCTAATGTTACTTGACATTAAATTGTACATAAAAGTCATAAGGTTACTTTAATAACATGTTTATTACAGCTAGAAAAGTATAGTGTAAAGCTGCCTATATATGTTGCTAAAATATTTCCTACGCTTATATTGAGCGGATCTATGTCGCGCCCGTGCGTGCATAATTTTTGTTATCTATATTTCAAAGTAGATAATTACATCGATGCGTATTTCAATTCCAGATACGTTAAAAGTTATTATGCGATCGCGCATCAAGTAACTTTTAATTAGCGCTTTGAGGTCTGACTCCGTAACTTCGTTAATCGGATGTTCTATCAATTACTTTGCAATCTGTTATTTTATACGATTTTATGTGTGATATTGATATAGTACATACATAGTGCGGCATTTTGTGTGCAGTATTCTGCCGCAATGGAAATGAAATCTATCATGTTGCGTGTTTTCCTTATGAACGCCGCGAGAGAATGGGTATAGCGGTGTATGTACTCGAAACTATAGTCTTCTAAAGAGAGATATCCTTTTCGAATCTTTAAGGGGAATGTCTATAAAAAGCTGTCTATTTTCTGCGATCTCTATGCCTGCGTATCCGAATTATATGAATGTAGCGTAAAATCTGTGAGTGCATAAAACTGTATATCTATATGACGGGAACAATGCTTGAATGATGTGTAACTTTGCCCATCTCGTGTGAATATTTCTTTGTCCCTAAACTATATATATGAGAAATTAACGTTTCGGATTACAGTAATAAATTACGGTCTTCCTTTCTCTCGTTATATGAATATATTTTGAAAGATATTATGATTCTTGATGATTCAAATAAAACTAAAGGAGTTTCTTCCGGTATTGTTCGTTGTTACCATCGTCGTGCAATTAATTCGATCGTAGCGTCAGATAAGAGTTGTGACGAACGTAATGTGTAAATTTTGAGTTTAAAGATTTATCCCGAAATGTTTCTCAATCGAGGAACTAAAGATTTTTACCAAGTGCCTTTGCGTATTTTTGTAATTTAAGCTAACTCAGTGTAAGCCCCATGAGTATCGCACTGTATAATCTATTATTATACATATATTACTGATATATTTATTTGTTGTTAATTCATCATGTTTCCTGCGAAATCGCTGCGTTGTGTGCTCTCGGTGGCGTAACTTTTCTTCCAAAAAATATGTGTGAATTATCAGATTTTTATCTGAAAATTACATAATTAAAATATTAATGTGATAACTAAGGTACTTCTATCTAATTAGAGATATATTTAAAGTTATGTCACCGACGAATCTCCTTGTTCATTGTGCCATTAGCATTTCCCTAAAGCTATGAATGTAACTTAGTTATTAAAGTGTCATTGTGTCTGCTCGTTGTAATACGTGACGTGACAATACTGCCAGTCCTTTTGGTTAATAAAATGCTGAGAAAAATTTCTGCTTTAATCCTACATTATCATATAAGCAGTTTTTTGTTTGTTTTATTACTTATACATAGAAGTTTTCACTTAATGCATGTGAACATATCATACTATTTACTTACCTCTTTAATAATACATGCGTTTTTGTTCTACAAATTAATTTAAATTTATATACAATATAGATTTAAAGTTTAGACTCTATAGTACATAAAAAATTAAATACTATTACTTAATACTGTTTATTGTTACATGGTAATAATAGAATTTCGAAATTTTGCGACTTAAAATATTATAAGGAATTTCTGAAAAGATTAAGTAATAAGAGATTAATTAAGTAAATTAATTAAGTTGTTCGTAAATTTTTATTTTAAGCAATAGTTTTTGGAATTTGAGGTTTTAAATATGCGGTTAAGTATAAATTATAGCCACCTCCTTATGTGTTGTGCAATAATATTAGTGAATACGTAACTTCGGCTCACAGACGAAGTGTCTATCTAAAATGTCTGTAATTGACACATTTAAATCTTTAAGACTTCAAAAACTATTGCTTAAAAAAAGAAAAATTTACAAATAATTTTTTTATTTATCTTTGCAAGAACTTTCTCGATCGCTATAATATTTTGTATATATTTACTTATTATATAATTTTATCAATTCAAACTTTCAATTTTTGCAATAAGTTAGCATAAGCTTTATTATAAATTATATAAAATTACCAATCTGTAAATCCAGTAATATGCAATTGCTTTTATTGCTCCAATAATTGTTATTAATACTGCTTCCTTAACACGTGTAGGAATTACCGCGTATCATCGCTTATCGATCGCCTGGCATGCGTTTTTTTCTTCGAATTGTATTTGCTTCTTTTTCAAGCTAATATCTATCGTAAATCATTAGTATGTAGACACTTGGTTAACAAATACTCGTTCCAGACGCATGCGCTTTGTGCATCGATTATTTTACTTGGTGCCAGATATTGTAAACCTCTGGCCATGGCAGATTGCCACGCAACCAAGGAAAACAAGTACTCAGTTCTTGTAACCTCGGTTACACGTGTACTTGACAGTATCGAGACACAGGATGCTACCTGAAGAGATTTAAAGAATCGGCGATGCAAAATATATAGGATCGGCCGTTGATTTTTACGCTCCAGTTTTATATACAAAAATATTAACGCAAATAAAAAATGTGAAGTTAAATATTCCTACTGTCATTGTTGATAACTTATACCAGGTAGTTTACATTTATATACAAATTAAAATAATACGCGTATAATATAGAATAGTTACACGTGCCTACGGATTCTCATTATGACTATCAAATACGAATTTTCCATTTGTTCATGATATGCTAACGCATGAAAACACATTGTCTTTAATTGCGATATGTTTAATTTTGCTAATTGACGTGATGGACAGTTGACAATAGGATTCTGAAGAAATTAAACTCGAGTATTGAAACTGTTTCACTGTTAATTAGTGTGGTTATTAATTGTTATTATTGTTCTTTAATTAAGGATGTAATTAACTAATGAAGTATTTCACCATGTTATTAATTACGTTTTTGCATTTATGCATTAAGCATATCATACTGTCTATAATGTGTCATTTGTATTAAAATTAAAATATTAACACAACGAGACATGTAACATATGTGTGTTGTCTAATATTTTTTAACTTTTAGATTAAATGTAACAAATAAAAAAATATTAGATTTTTTGGATGTCTTTACCAATGTTGAGAAAACGTATTATTGTGATACAATCATGGCATCTGGAAAACCAACCATGGCATCGGCAAAGCCAACTACATGCAAAGAAGCTATACGACGATGGGAGGAGGAGAATCAACAAAATGCTGCTACAGCGACAGAAGTAATCTTGAGCTTTCAATGGCCGCCAATAGAAAAGATGGACAACGCGCTGGCAACTTTGGCAAATTGTGAAAAACTCTCCTTTTCGACAAATATGATTGAAAAGATTGCAGGTAAATTCCGCGTAAAATTTAATATATTATAAAATTGCGAAAATATTCTAAGTAGTGTCAAAATTCTGTAATGACTTATGGAATGTTATACGAAATTACACGACACAACACGACGATTTCGTTATTGAAATATAATTATTGTCCTTGCTTCTAATAAGCAATTACATATAGTCTTAATTAATTTTAAAAAATAATGTATATTTCTTCTTACGAATTTTGGAACCATTTTTGCAAAAAATATATTTTTGAACTATTTTCTGAAGAATTCTTGAACTACTTTTCCTCAACAAAAGTAAAAACTGAAATGTAAGTCAAATGTAAAGGAAAAGAGTGACTGAAGTGTAACTAAACCTTCTAGTAGGCGAAACTGAGATAACAAAATATAAAAGATACGTTTAGAATATTAATATTTATAT